AGGGGTTGAAGGGAGGGCAGGGGAAGGGGGCTAAAACAAGAACCAAGAGAGATTATGTAAAGGTGCAAATTTCCAATGATGAATGTCATTATATTGTACACCTAAAATGTACCAATAAAAGGATATACAAAAAAAATCTAGTTGGACAATCAGTATTTGGATATTTCAGTGCATTCATCTTTAATTTTGTTAGCAGTGAGTCAATTTTTATGTCATTTTGGTTTTTTGTAAATCACAACTTCTGTTCGTTTTCATTGATTCATATTTTAATAATTCTGTGTATCATAATTTTGTTCAAAATGGAAATTTGAGGAGAAAAACACTATAGCAGTAGCAACTCTGGATACTAATCCCCTCAAGTCTTCTGTTTGCTGACATTTATTTTGTTATTGACATTGCTAGACTAGTTTGATAATGCTTCATTCTTCCATAGTGTCCAATTTTGGTTTGGTCCTCAGAGTGAAATATTTGGGGTCCACACACTTTTCCGGATCTTCGGTGATGAATTTGATTTTAGTAGAACTTTTATTCTCTTTTCTTCATCTTCTCCTTACTCTTCTGTTTGGCTCACTCTACTGTTATTTCTCTAAGATATTAGGCCCCACAATCTGCAAGCTAATTAGTCTATTGTTTTCAATAATCTTACCATGCATGAATTTCACCACATTGATTGCTGGCCTTGTCAAGGGCCAGGTGTTGCCACTCTTTGAAGCTTGTTTTAATTTCCCCCTTTGCAAATTTCTGTGCTATAAAGCACAAGCTGGGCAGAAAGAATGCTTTTTACCAAGATTCCCTCCATAGACTAAATACTGCAGATGGGAAGCAGGAGCTGACAGAGGCCTACCTCTTCTGCCTGCTACCACATAGTATAAAGCTTCTAAAGTCTGGAGTTGTGAACAAGGGGTGTCATACTTTTCAGTAGCAGCTTGGTCTACCTAGAATATTTCTTTAATCATAGGTAAGCTGAATGGGAAGTAAGCTGCTGAATGCTTACCAAACCTCTGGAGTGAGGCTTCTGAAATACGGGGCTGTGTAAGCAAAAGGATCTCTATCTTCACATGTGTCTTGACCCACATCCATACACGTAGTAAGCATTGCATGTGGGGAACTGGGAGCCACATAGCTGCTGCTAGCCATGTAACATAACTTTTTTCTAGCACAAATATGTGAAAAATTTGATCTGCTAATATTCCCTGATTACTAATTCCATTCTGAATTGTTCTGGTGCCCAGGAGTTCTTGGGAAAATAGCAACTGCTACTTGGCCAACAAGTTTGTTGGACCAATATTTCTTCAAAGAGGAATGTAACTGTAGTCATTAGCTCAAATTCCAGGGGTACCTACCTGTTTTACCCCATTTGTATGAGTTTTATTTAATAATTTTTTAAATTTGTTTTTCCTTTAATGAATCTCCAGAAATACTGAGTGATTGATTTTGTTAATTGTTACCAGGTTAATAAATGTCTTTCCAGAGAACATTTTCCCTAAGCTTCTTTTACCACCATTCCAGAAGATCTGCTCAGATACAACAAACAGACCTTGCATTATGAACATTTGTAGATGAGAACAAATTGCAGGAGTTGCTCACGTGTCTGCTGGACATTGTCACAGTTGTGCTGCTGTGTGCTTACTGTACAGTGTGATAGTGTACAGCAGCACACGGCTCAGAGACCAGAATGTCTGAAAGCAAGAGGAAAATCAGTGAAGTGGAGGTGACTGCTAGGAAGTGCAAAGCAATATACATTATATATCTGTGTCAAAAGTGTGTAAGACTCACTTTGTTGGACTTAAAAACAAATTCGATTTATGAAAGTTCTCCCAGAACAGAACCCGTTCATAAGTCAGGGACTCACTGTATTGAATATAACTACATACTATACATCACCTCAGTTAGAACCACTCAGTTGAGCCTAGTCTACCTACATAACTGTCAGGTATAATAATAAATTGTCGTTTGGAGAGCTAATTTGGGGATCATTTGTTATGCATTAATGATAAAAAGAACATATTACTTGACTTTTTTCTTTTTCTTTTGTCTGTTGTTGGTTTTATATGAGTAAATTTTGTAAAACTTCACTGAGAAAGGAAAGTCCACCATAATGATTATTTTGCACACATAAACGTATTTGTTAAGCTAGCTGTATTCACACATTTTTGGCAAAGATATAATATGATATCATCACTAGGTGTCTTTGATCATCTTTTCTAGAATAAAGAAACTCAAAAAAAAAAGGATGTTTGTAATCTTGTTTAAAACAACACCTTCTGGATTGCCTTTGGGATCAATCATATGAAGTTCCAGAATTCTTCAGAATAGCTATTGTTACTCATCCTGTATCAGTCTTGCCTCATCTGTTACAACAAAAGGGATAGCAACAGTCCTCTCACCATATATATATATATATATATATATATACACACACACACACATACATATATATATACATACATATATACTTATATACCAAAGAAAAAAAAGAAAGAAAAAAGTCATTATTCTTGACATTTATTTTAGAAATAGGTCTCTTATATTTCTTATCCCTTATTCTATGCTATAGCTTTCAGGTTTCCGAAACAGAATTTCATACATAGATCTGCCCGCCAATATAAACCATGATATAATTTTTAACTGCCTTTTAAATGTGAACTCCATCTTGGCAGAAAACAGTTAATGTTTTCAATTTAAATAGCATTATTTTCTGACACTTTCAAGTTCTTCAAAATCTCCATTTTTCAGGAAGTATAAAATCAAAATACTCTTTCATAATGGAAACGAAGATATTCGTTGAAATTTTTAAAAATTCTATATGTATATTTGCTACAAGGTACTTTTTGAAATGTACAGTATTTTTTTTGACATTCCTCACTTGAAGTAATTTAAGACCTGGCAGTTGTGCTATTTGTGTGTTCATTAGCAAGTAATGAAGATATCTATATTTTTTTGAGTGGAGATTTTCACCTCTTGATTCTTTAACTATAATAATACTACTAATCAGAAAAATCAGGCTTTGGAATATCTATGGGATTTTAGTTATTATAGCACATAAGTAAATGGAAATTATTTACTAAATGCTGAATAAAATATAATCAAGAGATGTGATTGAAGGGATGCTAACTGATCATAATTATGAATTACCTAGAAATATTCTTTTTAAACACACCTATGAGGAACCTATTCAAACTATAAAATGAAAGCATAATTCAACAGCTCTTGAGCATTGAACAGTGTGGGGAAATGTTATGGAATGATGACATACTTGTTTGCCTAATAGGGACCTGTATTTTCTTTATTCCCTTTTTAAATTAAAATTGTTAAAGTTACAACAAAAAAGTAATGTGTTATATGAAACATATGCTAGAAAGCTGTATAACATGCTCTTCATCTGAGAAGAAATATTTTTAATGGCAACTCTGATTAGTGGAAAACTATTACTAGATTAGGTAAGAATCATCAATTCTACTTTTATGTAGAATTTCTATCATATTGTACATTTTCAAACTCCCATTTCAGGCATGAAAACCCTTCAGAAATGATACCAAATCTGTGATAGGTATAGGCATACATAACAAACTATCCCAGAAGTCAGTTTAATGTGGAATTTAAATTATTAAATAGATTATAAATTTAATGATTAGTTTCATAATTCTAGAATATATTCTTTCAAAGTCAAAATAAATTTGAAGGAAAATACTTTTACTTAAATTGAAAGTTTTTGAAAATGATTACAATGTTCATATACAAATTTATGTCTTACTTTTAAAATTCACAAACAATGCTAAAAGCTAAAAAAAGAGTACATACTCCCTTCTCAGCCTCTGAGATTTGTCACAAAAGAAGACTGTATATAAAAATTTACACACAGCAACCACTGTATAGTGCTATAGTTTCAATGTTCCCTCTGAAACTCACATTGTAATTTAATTGACAATGTTAAGTTTTAAGAAGAAAGTCCCTAAGGAGTGTTTAGATAAAGTGGTGCCCTCATAAATGCCCGAAAGTCTTTACTGAGTTAGCTTGTTACAGTAGAAATTGGTTCTTGTAAATAGAAAAGTTTGGCCCAACTATCCTTCTATACATGTATTTCTTCATCAGGTGATAACTTCCACCATGCTATGATACAACAAGAAAGCCCTTGCTATTTGCCAGGGCAATACTCTTGGATGACCCAACCCACAGAAATGCGAGAGATAAATCTCTGATCTTTGTATGTTACCCAGAATATCTCAGGCATTCTGTTATACCAACAGAAAAGGGTAAAACATATAAGTCTGCAACTATGTGAATTCATGAGATAAATTTTATTTTCTTATCAAGGAACCTCAAGGGGGGTGGGCAAGGATATGTAGTAATTTAACTTATATCTGAAAAATTAAAAACTTGCTATGCCAAATGTTAACCAAGTTTTTTTTTTTTGCCTAGTTGGTATGCAAAGAAACCAGAAAACAATTCCCATTGCTAGCTTATATTTTGAGTTCCTTCAAAATATATAAAAATATTTTAAAATGTCATTAATTTAAATCAGTGGTTTATGTGTCAAAATATCCATGAACTTTGAGGATAAACTGAAAAACCTATGTGTTTTTTTTAAAGACAAAACAAACTTCATTTGGAGTTTCGTTTTTCTTCAGCATCCATATTGTGATAGGACCCTCAAGTAACAAAGACAACATGTTGACTTCTAAATTTCATGAGAGATTCCTGGGCATGGAAAGTAAAAATAAGCCTGATATTTGCAGATGTCAACTCTTTTGCTTTAAAACTTTTGTAAAATTATTTTCTTTCGCGGGCTCTGAGGAGGACGCGGGCAAGCGGAGGACCCGGCGGATGCGGAGGAGGCCAGAGGATGCGAGCGGGTGCGTAGCGGCGGCGGGTCCCGGGGATCCCGGGGTCCCCAGGTGCCCGCCCCCCCCCCCCCCCCGGCCCCACGAGGACATGGTGTAGCCTCCGCCGCGCTGGACACCGCCCCCCAGAGCCGCGGCCACCCGCGAAGCCGGGCCGGGCCGGCCGCCGACGCCATGAGCAAACAGAGTATCTGTCAGGGGAGAGCTGCTGTGATGGTTTACGACGATGCCAACAAGAAGTGGGTGCCAGCTGGTGGCTCCACAGGGTTCAGCAGAGTCCACATCTATCACCACACGGGCAACAACACGTTCAGAGTGGTGGGCAGGAAGATCCAGGACCACCAGGTCGTGATAAATTGTCCCATTCCTAAAGGGTTGAGGTATAATCAAGCTACACAGACTTTCCACCAGTGGCGAGATGCTAGACAGGTGTATGGCCTCAACTTTGGCAGCAAGGAGGATGCCAAAGTCTTCGCAAGTGCCATGATGCATGCCTTAGAAGTGCTGAATTCACAGGAAGCAGGGCCAACATTGCCTAGACAGAATTCACAACTACCTGCTCAAGTTCAAAATGGCCCATCCCAAGAAGATTTGGAAATTCAGAGAAGCCAACTGCAAGAACAACAACGACAAAAGGAGCTGGAGAGGGAAAGATTGGAGAGAGGGAGAATGGAAAGGGAAAGGTTGGAGCGGGAGAGGCTGGAGCTGGAGCTGGAGCTGGAGCTGGAGCAGGAGCGCCTGGAGCGCCTGGAGCGCCTGGAGCGCCAGCAGTTCGAATGGGAGCGCGAGCTCAGAGTCTCCCGTGCTGCTGCCCCTGCCTCAAGGGAGACTTCTCTAAACTCTGTGCTGGGAGACTCCTCTGCTTCTGAGCCAGGCTTGCAGGCAGCCTCTCAGCCAGCAGAGACTCCAGCCCTGCAGGGCGTTGTCTTGGGACCACCTGCACCTCCACCCCCTCCTCCCCTCCCACCAGGACCTATCCAGGCCCCAGCTCCCCCTCCTCCCCTAGGACTCCCACCGCCACCCCCACTACCATCATGTGGGCCTCCTCCTCCCCCAACCCCTCTGCCCAATCAGGCACCCCCCCTCCTCCCCCTCCTCCTGCCCCACCACTCCCTGTGGCTGGATTTTTCTCTGGACCTGTGTCAGAAGACAATCGCCCTTTAACTGGACTTGCAGCTGCAATTGCTGGAGCAAAACTTAGGAAAGTGTCAGGGATGGAGGATGCCTCTTTCCCTAGTGGAGGGAGTACCACTGCTGTGAACTCAGCCTCCTCCAAAGCTGACTCCAGTCAAGGGAATGGGCCCCTTCCTCTAGGTGGCAGCGGCTTAATGGAAGAAATGAGTGCCCTGCTGGCCAGGTGGAGAAGAATTGCTGAAAAGGGATCAACAATAGAAGCAGAACAAAAAGAGGACAAAAGTGAAGATGCTGAGCCTGGAACTTCAAAGGCCTCTTCAACACATACACCTGAACCAACCAGAAAGCCTTGGGAAAGAGCAAATGCAGTAAATGGCAGCAAGTCCCCTGTCATCTCCAGACGGGATTCTTCAAGGAAAAATCAGATTGTTTTTGATAACAGGTTCTATGATTTATTACACAGACCAAAATCCAGGCCCTCATCACAGCCCAGTGCCAATGGCATCCAGACGGATGGACTTGACTATGACAGGCTGAAGCAGGATATTTTAGATGAAATGAGAAAAGAATTGACAAAACTAAAGGAAGAGCTCATTGATGCAATTAGGCAGGAACTGAGCAAGTCAAATACTGCATAGAAAAGCAAAAGGAGAGAGAGAGAACTTTAATCTAGAGAGGAAAAAAAATCCTACAAACAGTAACCTTTAGCAGCAATCCCATACGATTCTGTGACTGTGAGAAGAAACTGGAGACAAGCAGTCAAAGGAGGAAAGCAGCGTCCTCGGAAAGCCTCAGACATTGTGATTCTGTGATCGCCGTCCCTCCCTGCCGGCTGCTTTTCTCTGACCTTTCCCACGGAATGGAAGAGTGCTGGACAAGTTCCTCTAACAGTTGCACAGAAAATACGAAGCCCATCCGTCAGATAAGAACACTGTGCATTGAAATATTTTCATGTTGAGATAAAGCCACACATTTTATACAGCCCATTGCTAAAATAAGGAGAAAGGCTTATGAAGTTCTTTTTCAGAGAGTAGTGATGAAGAATTTAGCAAGTTCTGCTGTTGTATTGTAAATGTTTCTCTCAGGTCTGTCTTCCTATCATATTTGATATTCCATGATTAATTGAGATCAGCCTGTGTGTAGGTTAAGATCATAAAATGTGGAACAAATGGAATTGTATGTGCTTTCAAAGAACATTTATAAGAAAGTATCCTAAAGATGATTGGTCCAGCTTAAGGAATTTTAGAATGATAGGAAGTCTCTCGAGTTAGTCTTCATGCAATTTTGTAGTTTAAAACATAAAATTCACCCAGAATTTAAAGATTTAGATGCCTTCCGAAATTGTTACAATGCTTTACCAAATCTATGACTTCTACATAACACAAACCAGGGGTCAAAAGGAAAACAATAATATTGTAGATTTACTGTAGGTTTTCAACCTTTTTTAGATTTATACATGTGGGCATTTTTATAATGTAATTACAGTCACCACACAAGGTTGCCTTTTTAATGGCAGACAGTAATGCATGTCGCACTAATAAGTAGTGGCTTTTTCGAGGCCTTGTCCCAGGGAAAACATTTTGTAGAGTATAGGGAGTGGGGGGAAGGGAAGGAATAACTTTTTTTTAAAGTTAATTTCTGCACTTTTTTCTCCATTACCTGCAAGAATAGTGATGAGGACTATTTTGTGACTTTAATTGGTAAATATGTTAACAAAACCAAGTACTTCTCTTTTACATCATGTCTTTAGCTTTCTGTATTCTAACCAGCAATTCCAGCAGTCTGAAACATGAATCTGAGCTTCGTGTGGATTGTATCTTACTGTGGCACTCAGTCAGGTGTCACCATCACTGACAGTGATGCAGGTATTCAGACACACAGTCTGGCGTGAGGGTGGTTTTGAATTTTACGGTGAAATACAAGAAATGACAATGATGACAGCAGTTAAAGTCACCAAAATCACTGGGTAAAGGGAAACCGAGGAGGGGGAGGCTGTAGTTTCAATAAAGGGAGCCAGGCCTAGATGGGAAGGAGGAGTCAGACACTGTTTCCACCCTTTGTTGTGCGGGTGAGTGTGCGCAAGTGTGCATGCTGTGTGCATGATACACTCCCTTTTCTCCGAAACTAGTATGATTAAAATCAGGGAGAAGTCCTTTATATTGCAATGATAATGTTTTAGAAAATTCTAGGAAATCAGAAATTCTCCAGGCTCTCCATCTTGATTTATGCTTGAGTTGTTACGTGCCATAACTGCTTTGAAATCTTTGATTATTGGAACTTTTACTAAAATTTTTGTGAAATAATCCACTTTCATCTGCTTTCTAGATTTTATAAATCCCAAGCCTAAGACAAAGCTTGTTGATAGCATTATTTTCTAAATGATGCCCCTGTGCACTCATTTCCACTACAGAGAAGTTTGGATGAGAGGATTTTCTTCCTTGTTAAAATAGTTTCTGTAGAAGCTTCATGTTAGATGAAACTGTGATGGGTGAGCTATCGTAACACAAGCATGCAGCTTTTCTATCAAGTATTCGCTGTCATGCAGTTGTAGTAAAGGCTTTACAGATGCACCAAGCTTATGAATTACTGTTCTCCAAAAGGAATAGGAGGCATTTTCATCTTTATTACTGTACTTCGGGTTATGTAGACACTTTGACAATATAAATATTTATGCCTTCTGTAAATCCGGCCAGAAGTCACTTTAGATTTTCTTGGGTAAATTAAGTAGTCTGCAGTAAGAGTACTGGGTACAAGTGGTCCAAAGTAAGATAAAAAGCTAAAATAAAATGTTAAATCTTAAAAAGAAGCTGATTTATGCACTAAACATTTATGCCTTGGTCTAATATTAATATGAAATCTGTGTGAAATGACAGAACCAGTGTTGAGTCAGGCTCCACTGTCCATCGTTCTACATCCTACCAGACATTAAGTGTGTTTCCTCCAGGAAGTTTGATTGAATTACTCTACACATTTGCTGTGTTGCTGACATACATGACAGTCACATCATTGTTAGAAGTTTCAGTAATGAAAATGAGAAACAGATGCTTAAGTTATTTTCCTATCAAACTGTGTTTCTTGGAACTACATTATTCTGATGGCTTTGTGCTGTTGTACCTGAATGTCTTCAGATGAGTACAGTTTTGGGGACCCCTTCTAGTTACAAGAAGGTACTGCTGTCCTCAACACTGTGATCTGACCTGTGACACATCTGTACTATATGCTCTGTAAACGGCTAACAAGTCAGCTGCAAACTGAATGTACAAATCTTAGTGCTGGTGCTGAAATCTCTTCAGAATAGTCATCATGATTTAAAAGTTTGTTTAAAAATTTGCAAGCATCAGGCCGGGGATTTAGCTCAGTGGTTTTGTTTGCCTCCTGCCTTGCAAGCGCAAGGACCTGAGTTCTATCCCCGGTAGCAAAAAAAAAAAAAAAAAAAAAAAAATTGCAAGCATCAATTGTCAATCAGAACTGAAGATGAAACACTAATGAATGTTGACTTTTCATGCTTTAGGTATATTTTCCTTTGTAGATTTTTCAGTTCTCTGCTATTTTTACCTTAACTGTTTCATTTAAATTTCCTAAATGCTAACTTCGTTTGTGTGATTGAAATAAAATTACAGTATATAAAAAAAAATTATTTTCTTTCACAATATTGATGGACTCAAACATTTACCTATTTGGACTGGAAAAGCAAAAATCAACCAGTCGATCATTATATCAATGATTAAGTCAGTAAGTATAATTTATTTTAAAATGCTTGTTTTTCCTATGTGGATCAAAATGCCTCCAGAAGTAGTTTCATTAAGAAAGTTTCTAAAATATTGAATTATTTTCACATCAGTGAGAGAAATGCATAATATTGTAAGGGAAAAAATACTGAAAATGCCTGGTTCAAACACTTAATCTAGAATGGTTTAGTAAATGGCCATTGATTTGTTATTTTAATTTCATTTGTATTGTAGTAATTACAATATAAATTATTATCACTGTCATTATTTTTGAGTAGGCGGTGCATATATAGGTACGCTTTAAGTCTCTCAGCCATGAAAGGGTTTTTGAGAAAGCTTAAGTTTTACTCACATTAGTTCAGTTAAACCTATTTCTATGTTCCCTACTTGAAACAACTAAACTTGGAAAAATACACAAAATTACAATTTTCAGAGCATAAGAATCAGGCAGCAAAGGACAGTGTTTTCTCAGAATAAGTTAATCAATAAAATGAGTCCTTAGGGTATCCCATTTTAGTTTCTGGAGAGTTTCCAGCCTGTAGGATAAGTTTCAGAACTCTAGGAGAAGTTTGGCAATCTTACTAAGCTGAGAAAACAGAACGGTGACTTTGGAGAGACCAGTCTGACTAGAATTGTCAGGGCAGAGTACTAGAAAGAAGAAAGTCTCCACAGAGCAAAAAGTCTGGAGAGTCCTTTTTTGTATGTTCACCTGCATATTGATCAATAGAAAAATAATGAAAGCATGAGAAAGAGGAAACAAAAAACATCAGGGAAACTAACAACTCCTACTCATACAGAATGAGAAATAGTTCATGTTCCTGCTTGGCATAGTAAAAAGATCTCATAAATCGGGGGTATCAAGCAGAATACTCAATAGGATTTTGCATCATACATGAGGCAAAATTAACCACTGAGAAAAGGCTGCTGTAGTTTTACTAAACAATGATTAACCAGTCTAAACACAAAAATGATATAAAATCTTCAAAGTAACAATTTTATTTAGAAACAAATCGAAAGAATAACTGTAGGAATGTTTGTAAGTTTGGGCAACATCTTAATCCAGTCTGTGTTGCTCTTACATAATACTTCGAACTGAGGCAGAAAAACTTATTTGTCATATTTCTTGTATTTCTACAGGCTAGGGAGTCCCAGTTCAAAGGGCTTCATACATTGAGGCCATTTTTGCTAAGTGATAACATGGCAAAGGCATCCTGTGAGGAGAAAGTTTATAAGAGAAAGAGAACAAGAAAGGGCCAAACTCACATTTAGAACAAACCCAATCCTCTGATGAATAGATTACTAATTCATGATGAAGATAAGACATTAATTTGTTTATGAGGGAAGACTCTTATGACCTCAAAACCTCTTAAAGATCCTGACTCTCAACACTGTTACAATGGCAATTAAACTTCAACACAAGTTTTCTTGGGCACTGCCAAACCACAGGAGGCTACAACAACAATCATACTGCATATGTGGTGTCTTAAAATTTTTTCTCTTTCTCATCATTTTTGAGCTTGGGAAGTCTGTGATAAGAGTGCCAGCCTGGACAATTTGTGATGAGGGCTCTGTTATGTTCCTTCCAGTGGCAGAGAGAGATACAGGATGTAAACTCTTGTGTACTTTATCCTTAAAGGAAAATAATCTCATCACAAAGTGTCAACACTCATTACTTGATTATCTCAAGTCACACTGAGATTATCTCTATTGTCACACTGAGATTAAGTTTGAATATATGGATTTTGTGGGTCACATTATATCCACAGCAATAGGAACACAAAAAATATCTAGTACACAACATGATAAAATGCCCTAAGTCTAGGGAAAAAAATTAAAAATCATGTATTAAAAAATGCTAAGAAATACACACATCATGAGAAAAACTGATTAAAATTGAACAAGAAGTAATGTAAATGGTAAAATTAGTAGCTAATATGCTCAAGAGGGTAGAGTACATTTATGTAAGCTGACACATAAAAATATGAAATATACCCTTAAGACAATCTTATCGATTAAACTACAATGAATGAGGAAAAAAATCTACTGGGTTCAGAGGCAGAATAGACAATGAGAAAAAAAAAAAAACAATGAAGGGAGGGCAGGGGAATGGGGAAAAAATAAGAACCAATATATATCATA